ATCATTGTTAATATTCGAATCGAACCGCAAAATGCTGCTGAAGTTACAGCCACAATTGCTGATTGCACGACGAAATCGCTCTGCTTTTAAATCGAATAATTTTGTTTGCTGAAACAATTACGGTATAAGTTAAGCTCGACGACAAAGTGTTGTTTATTATAAGTGTTGTGAACTCATCGCACACAGGAATTTTTTCACCACTGTACTATCCTTTCTAAAACAATTAAATATTCATCAGAAAAAACAGTCAGCAAATGCATTTTCACTTCATTATCATAATTGATTCACGGACATTGTCACTATCAATTTGTCAATTAAGCGAAAATTTTGAATTAGCGATTAATTTTCTTGTCAGCACATAGACTCCTTCACCGTACATTCAGTTGCATTTTCCATCTATTAGTCGCCGTCGAAACTCACCTGAACGGTCACAACTTTCACGCATGAATCGAGGTAGTGTATCTTGATTTCCTTTGCGAAATATTCTCATCATTCTTTCTGTTTCGATTCTCACAAAAACTGTTTTTTTGAGTTCCTCACTTTCGCTGTGAACATACACATTCTTGTACTAGTACTTCATATGTCGGTAACTTTTCGTTCTATTTCATGGTAAAATATATAGCTTCCCAACAAAAGAAGTGTTTTTGTGTAGGTGATTCGAAGTGAAATTTCTTGAGGAGTTTGTTTCCTCGCTGCTTAGAGCAAGCATGTCGTTGATTCGACTCAAAACACAACCAGACAAGAAATCCGACGAATATACATGCACGCAGCTCGAATATACATATGCCGATGTGTTCCCTTCAATTGCCCCTAAATCTATGAAATCTTTTATCTGCTAAGTCACATGCCAATCACATTTTTTCCTATCTAATATCCGATCAGCGTGTTCTTTCAAATATTGCACCCTTTCTCCTGAATTGGCGATTTTTCTTTCGGAATTTCCAATGATACATTCTTCCTTCCAAAATCTTGCATGTAACATTTTCCAAAGTATTCAGTTTCTTAGTGCTACATACTCCAACGATAAGGTAATTTGAGAATTCTTTGTATTTAAGCACGTACGCTCACGATCACATACATCTTTGATCGCTATTATAACTTTCATTCTGTCAATCGAATTTTCCTTCCTGAAATGATTCCAAATAAACTTTTTCGTGATTATTGATATCCACAAATGATGGTGGTCATGGTGTTTCGGCGAGTCAGTGCTCCTCGAGCATACACGAGCAAACTAAAATCTTAATTTACGAATTTTGAATAACACTGGGCCATTGAACATGAAAACGTGCTATAGCACCGCAAACAGCTCAACTTTAATATAGATTTATTCATTACGTATGGAACAATGTGGAGAAGACATGACATATTTATCAAATTATGCATTCAATTCTAGCAAAATGATTGCAGTCAGTGTAGATATTTCAAAAAATCTACGAATTTACACTCATACCAATGATGTGGTTTAGTAAGTTGTCCGTTTAGGCAACAGGTAGCTTTTGATGCTGACTTTGCATTGATCTTATCCTGTAAGAATGATTGGCAGGGATCGGTTCTGCTTAAGGTCTGACAGACAATACGTCAGCAAATATTGCATGATGTAGTCACAGTATGTATGAAGTTGATGGCAAAAAAACGAGAACCTTTTGATAGTGGGATTTTATATGATGGAAGGAAGCTAAGTAGTGAGTTTAAGTAAGTTTGAATGAAAGATTTTTATCCTTAGTTGTCCTCTTTTCCAGACTCTTCACTTCAAATCATTTCACTTCAAGCCAACGCTTTGGACGTTTCATCATTCCATCTAAGCATCTGCCTAAATGCCTTCTCTATCCTTCAAGCAATTTCTTAACTACGCACATTCTTCCCATCAACCATCAGAACCAAACAAATCGGCTTTCCATCCATATTTTCCGCTTCGCTTAGTCAACATCCTCAAAATTTTTATCTCCATGTTATTATTAATATAATTATTACTTTTACCATCGCAAAAAATGTCATTACATTCACTGTTATATAATAATTATTATACAATAACGTTTAGCATAGAGCGCTGTACTGCCCGTATCAGGCATTCTCCTCGCATGCATGTAAGAATAAAAAGACAAGAACAATTACCGTATCATAACATCATCAGCTTCTGATAAGATCCATTTTATCTGTCATTGTGTAATAATCTCTTTCAAATTGTTCTCTTCATTTCTTTCATTCAACCCAGCAACTCACCCATCATACTCATTCGATTACTGCCTTGCCCAATACACTGTTATTCATCAATGAATTTTTGTATCATTCAATGATTGCAATATCAAAGAGCAATATAAGCAATTCTTTCACTCTCTTTTTTGATCGCCTTCAAACCGCTCTTCAAATCTCATCATTTTGCATTCACTTCAGATGTTTTCTGAATAGCAACAACTATCATCAAAATAGTTACTACTGTAAAATTATTAAAGTAATTGTTATTCCCTCGCAAAATATTCTCTATAAACCGAGCATCGCATGAAAGTATCGCTAGGTTATCGTTGCCTGAACTTATCAATGTGCAGTATATGATCTGCAGATCGGATCAGATTTTTTGAAAACTAGTTGGGTCACTAGTTGGGTACAATAACGCAGCACTATTATTAACTAATTGTAAGAAATCGTATGTGACATATCAAGTCACGGTTATTTTGACTGTTGAAAGCCTCTCACGACTGCAATTTTATGCTTCCTACACCGTATTTTGCACTGGAACTGTGAGCAGTTCATTCAGTACACTTGAACGACCTTTGAATCAGTTATCAGAACCATGTGTCTTCAATGGATGTTTTTTCTGCGCAATATTCTCAAGAAGTACTGTCTCATAGTCAGTTTCTATGCTGATGTGAGAAATTTTCTTGCTTGTACGAGCAAATCAATAAACTACCAACAATCTACTCAAATAGTCCCATTCAATTTTTCCCATGTCTGCTGACAATGGGATGCGATTTTGTTTGAAGCCCCAAAAAAAGTTACAGCAGCATAGTTTTTTGCACTTTGTTTTTCGGGAGCCGGGCATTGGTTCATCCATCAATGTTGTGCTGGTATGTGCCCTTTCATAGTGATTGTTCTGGCTTGCATTCTGTTTTTTGATGATGGCTGACAGCTAGTCAATTCATGAGATTGCCAGTTGATTGCCAAACGATCATGTTTTGTGACAATTCTAATTTCTGCACAGTCAAACACCACAAATTTGGACACTTCAGATCTTCGAACATCGTTTGTTTCCTACGGTGTTATGACACCTAAGGAGGGGGATGTTTTTGCCTTCTATTGTTTTCAACTCTTCACCTGAAACACGCTTCTTGAGCACTTCGAGTTGTTTATTGTATGAGAACTGAATAAAAAAACAATTGAACAAGCAATGATTTCATACAAACTAAACGATCAAACACAAATTCTGTTGTTCGCAGATCAATGTGCATCATTGATGCCTTAGAAAGGGTATATGTAGATAAATTCTACGAATCTTTAAAGTAGAACGACTTGTGTTGTGCTTTGTTCATGAACACTGACTGACCAATTCAAGTGATCCTTCTGTCTGATCGTGAAATGCTCAGTGCAATCAACGAAAAATCAACTTCTCAGAATTTCCGAATAATCGATTAGAATCCATCCACTATAGTGGAATTGACACGACACGACGTCAATTTTTTTTCACAAGAAAAAGAATTTCGCAACTTTCTTTGGCTATAATCGTTTTCAATCCATATCGATTCACTTTAATGCCGAAATCAATTAACATTAACTATAAGCTGTACAAGCGTTGCTTTGTAGCTAAATCAACTGTTCCAATGATATTCCCCTATTTGGAGGATATCATTCGAACACCCGCTCATTGCTTTACATTATAGTTGAAAGAATATTAACACTGCGGGATCGTTCAGTAATTAGTACCGTTACACGTATGATTAGGATAATTCTTATAAGATGTAACGTCGCGGACCACACTCAAAACCTAACCTTTCGTTTCTCTGGCATTGATTTAGCAACCAGTGAAGAAATGTTAACAGTGATTTTGATTGATTACGATGACAAAAACTCAAAACCTGACCAAAATGCTAATAGTGATTTGAACGATCGATCAGTGCATCTCACGTTCCGGTGCTCCATTACCTCCTTTTATGATCTGGCAGGTTGTCGTTACACCCCTTCCCCCTTCCTCCCATCCTGACATCTCTAAATTACCGAAAATGGGCGCTCCCTTTGAGAACCACTGTCTCAGACCGTTGTGTTGCTCATTATTGCAACCGATTTTGATTGCATGAAAAGCTATTGTCTGTGACATGCTTACTTCAAACTGATTTACATGGATTCTCATTCTTTTTAGACGTGTTCTACTTACTCTCAAACCTATCACATGTGAATATCGTTCTCTTCATGACTTTTTCTCATTTACTTCGTCTCATTTCACTTCACAGTTCGCATCAATTTCTCATTCCATAGCAAATACTACTTACTGGATGCGTTGATGAGTGTTGATAGCCGAAATCAACAATACAAAAATCGAATAGTATTGCTCACCAATATGCGACAATCAAATGATCAGTTATAGAGTGTATTTGATAGAATGAGAATTTGACTTTAATTGTTGAATGAAGTGAATGAGAACTTAGCAGAAGAGAACACTTTTGGTGATAAAAGCTTTGAGAGCGATTGTAACAGCAAGGAAAAGAATGAAAGCCCTGTTAGGCTAGGGCGAGCTAATAATACTCAGAAAATAGGAGAATGAGTAGTTTTCCTAAGTTTAAAAAAACACCACCACAATGGCGTTCTTTCACAAAATAACAATTGCACGAAACTCTAATTTCCCGACGCCGTCCATTACTCCTAGATACCTCCAAATTATCCAGAATGGGTACTCTCACCCCCTACGATAATCACTGCGATAGATTAACCAGTTGATGAGATCCGTGATGAGTGGTAAGGGTTCATGATTTACGTGATAAATTGCGGTGATTTACTCAGAGATTTGTTGCAGGTGTTGGAAAGGTTCTGTACGCATCGATATGCGTGATCCTTTTCGTGCAGCCCTAGAGGCAGCTGCAGTAGCCTCATCGCAACATCGACCACGCGCCTCCAGATCCATTAAGCATACCAAAATTTTCGAAATGGTTATGCAAGTGAGTTTATCGCTGTTCGATCGATCTATCATAACATTATCCATCAATTTGTATCAACATTTTACTAATATCGCATTGAAATCTTTTGAAGTTAAACCAGAGCATTGTCTGCCTCAATCTCGGGAACATTTGAACCATCTCACATCAAATTTGAAACTACTTATGCAAATAACACACGATAATCTGAGATCTCGGGTCTGGATATTGTTTGATTTTTAACAAAATATGGATCCTCATCATCATGATCTGATAGTATTGGCAAGGAAACCAACTACAACAGTGAGTAATGAACACGCACTCTGGTTGTATCAGAAATATTCGCCAATATATCAGGTCAATATAATCGAACAGAAGGTTAATTTTATCAAGCAAATGTTCAGATTCTTTCATCTACCCTATCACCTCAAACCTCGAATACAACGTTGTCAATAGCTGATTTCATTGACGATTCAGCTGAGTTCTCGTCTCTAACGACCATGTCGTCAACCTCAATTCGACTCTTCACCAATCAGTCAGTGTACAATGAAACCGATCAGACTGCCAAATCACAATGGCATCAAACAAAGTTCGTTTTCCCAAATACCAAAAAGTTATCGGTTCAATTTTTCATTTTCCAATCACTAACATTCACTCGAATTCCAAATCGTCAACTCTTATCTGAATTATCCCAAGACTGTAATCTCTTCGATTATGAGTTTATTCGGCAGAAGAAACAATGACCTGCCCAAAATACTGCTCTACAATCATTTTTTCACAATATGTACTTTCCAATTGACATTTTTGGCTATATCCGAATGGATCATGCCAACGGATCTCATGTAGAGTTTAATTTCAGATTTATGTGTATAGTAGCGATAGGCTCAATATTTGCCATCCTAACAACAGTGGGCAATTTGATGGTTATGGTCAGCTTCAAAATTGATAAGCAGCTGCAAACGATCAGCAATTACTTCCTGTTCAGTCTAGCAGTTGCGGATATCGCGATTGGTTGGTGAAAATGCACTGAATATTGTTGTAGAATTCTCTGGTTGAATCTTTATTGATTCTATGCGATGAATTTATAGAGATTCAGTTGTGCTCTTCTCGAATAATGATTTGCAATTACAATTTCATTGATATTCTGGAAATGAATAATCCGATCCTCCTTTTCAATTTCTTCGTTTCTCAGAGCAAAGAGTTGATGGATCAGCATGTTGATTTGATCACAGGGCTGTATATGAGTACCTATCGAGGACTCATCAGTAACATTTCTCATATTTAAAGAGCTTCTTTTCTTTGGACATATCCTCGAGTTACTGAAGAATGTATAGATTAGTTGTAGATAATAAATGCTAGGAAGTTGTTGTTGCAGGAATAGTGTCTATACCTCTGATGACTTATTATATGGCTGTTGATACGCATTGGGGTATTGGTTACACGATGTGTCAATTTTGGTTATGTCTTGATTATTTTATGTCGAATGCGTCTGTACTTAATTTATTGTTGATCTCATTTGATAGATACTTCTCCGTAACCAGACCACTCACCTATCGTCCAAGGTAAGCATTAATTTTATCTCATATTTTACGTTCCTACACTCAGAGAATATCAATATTCCACAATTAGTTAGATACAAATGTGGTTAATTCGTTGAAATTATCCAGAGCATGCTATCCAGAGTCGATCTCATCTCCACATTCACTATTAACATTTGTGAGACATTAATTTTCTCAATGCGAATGCATGAGGTTCGTTATCTTGATGAAATTATTAAATTCGAAATCACCTTAAGGCGAACAGCAAAGAAGGCATTGACTATGATCGCCAGCACTTATATTATATCGTTAATTCTATGGCCACCATGGATCATCAGCTGGCCTCATATTGAAGGTTCGGTCACTGGGATTTTTTAGAATGTCTACGAAAGTACTCCTTTTTTATCAAGTTGAATAACTCGGCAATGATAACGATGATAATATCAAGCTTTTGCGAACAAGCGCATTCCAATGATAAAATTCCCATAGGAAACGTAATACATTCACAAATTGTGAACAATTTCTAAAATATGCTCATTGTCGGAATAAATTGATCATTGTGATGGATCATCAATATAGAAGCAAAAGACCAAATCTAGAAACAATGGATTCAATTAAAGTAAAATTTATTCGCAGAAACTAGTAAAATGATGAATAATGAAATTAGCAAATGAGTTCCATATTCGGCACATCATCTCAACAGCGGATATTATTCATCCGGATCATGTTCTTATTTATCCTATAATTGCCGAGTTATCATCTTGTGTGCTGCCTCTACCGTATTCTCATAACTCCTCTGCTCATTACACAGGTCGTTTTACGAATGAAGAAAAATGCGTAGTGCAGTTTATTGAGACGAATCAATTCGCCTCGGTTGGCACTGCAATTGCAGCCTTTTATCTGCCACTTTCGATTATGATTGTACTCTATTCGAGAGTTTATTACGAGACCAAAAAGCGTCAGAAGGAAATGACTCGCCTGCAGGCTGGACAAGTAAGTTTATTGCATTCTATTTGCTGAATGAGAATTGTCCATCTCAATGCTTCAGATGTTTGTATATTTGGACAGAATATGAAATTTTCAATTATTTTATCTCAGTGGGATCACATTGTTGCAGTACAACGTTCTTAATCTCTGAAACAGTCGTGAGGTCTGAGGTCTTATCCCATCAGTAGCCGATAGCCAGACAAATCAAATTGATTCGTTTGGCCTGTGCAATGAACTTTCTTTCATTGCTTCCATTTGTAAGGTCCTCTTTAACCAACAACACCATTCGATTACTATATTCGGCAGGGAACTATCATTGTCTCTTTGCTAATCCACTTTCCTTACTAATCCGTTGGGATTAGTAATGTGACAAAACAAAATTTACGAAAGTGGTGTGAGTAAATAAAACGAAATAAAGCATTGAATGCTTTATAACACGTTCAACTAACTTCCCGTCGACAGTGGAATGTGCAGATTGAACGTAATGATAATTAGGATTAGCCGGTGAAAATGTAGTAAATGTGCTGATGTAATCGGGCAAGTAATATGAAAAAACAACTCGAAACTCAAAAATTCCAGCGAATCGCCTCTCTTATTGCGAGTACATCAAGAATTGCGGGCGCACCAAATGTGAACGTAAGTGTACAAAAATATATGCAACTATGCACAATTGATCTTATGCAGTCGGTCATAAATATCACATTCTATGGCCATCTCTGAACTCTCTGATAGTATGGGATGTATCCAGTGATAAGATGGATATACCGGTACCTGTCATCACTTTCGATAAATTCTTTCCGTTAGCACCAACGTCTTGAATGTCACTGAAAATTTTCGCCTTCTTATCGTTCCAACGTCTGAAAGTATCTCTTGATGACGGCATTTGATAAGAAATCTGATGAGTTCTGTTACAAGCATATATGAAAGCACTCTTTTCGCACCTCTTAAAGTATATATTGTTGGCATTCAACGGATCAAATAAATGCTTGATTATTGACGAATGCTTCACAAGCAAATGCACTTAAATGCGCAAACGACAGGCACATCGAATCGACTACAATGTCATGCTGCTTATTATTGTCAGTATCATTATTGCTATCAGTATGAGGATTATTTTTGTGTTTATCACTGCTGCTGTCGTGCACTGATTGATCGTTGAAATCGCTTTCTGTAACGTTTCAGCACTCATTATCAGATGTGACTATGCATATGTAATACAATTGATATGCGGAATGATCGGTCTACAGTTAATATAGTGAAACAAGTGAAACTATTGTGAATCGATGTAAATGTTGTGTTTTTGTATAATACACAGAAATGTGCATCTCTGATCAGGACGGCCACAAGCACTTTGTGAATGGTTTTGATGGCTGAAATGATAATTGATTTGACAAGAATGCCATTTTTTCATTAAGATTAACGATTTTCATTGAGCATTTTCAGTTGAGGCAGTCATTGAGCAAACGTGAAATTCATTCAACAACCTCATCAACATCACTAACTGCGAAAAATTCCTTCAATCGTAATAACTTATTACCTGCGATTCGATATCCGGATGGAATCAGGTAGTACTTCTCTTCAGTTTCTGAACGATATTCTATTGTCATATTTGAATTGATCATCTTTATCGTATTCATTTCTTAATGAATTGACTTGGAAATTTTCGATGAGCAACAGTTTTGATCGATGGAGATCAAAGTGTTATCGAGCTGAATATTTCAATTTCCTGATGACGACTCGAGGAATTTTCAGAGAAGAATCGAAAACGCGGAAACGATCCTGCCTGAGATCATGTTTGGGTAGAAGCGGAATCTCTTCCGATGATAGTAGTAGCGATGTGACCGCACGTGTTGCTGCGGACGATACCTCACTGAGAAGTAGCAGTATGGGCTCTATGCGGCGACCGAACTCGAAACACTCACCTCATCGTAGTCCATCGCTATCACAGCATAAAGTTTGTGCGAGAGTTTCGCCGAGCAATATCCCGTTTTTTTTTTAAACGATCGTTTTGAAACATTGTGTTTTTGAAGTCTTGTCAGAACAACACATTGGATTACATTCCTTACAAGTGCTACTTCATGATAATCTTTCAACAAAAGAACTTTCAGGATAGCAGCAAAAAAACGTCCGATATGAGTGGTCATTACCGAAATAGTAGTGGACAGTTTAGGTCACGGAAAGTTGATCGACCTCCGACCTACACAGTGCTGATCGAGTTGAAAGACGGAGAGGGTAAGCGACCATCAGTACGGCTGTCTTCTTGTGAGGCTGACGAACTTCCTGGGTTGGTTACCTCTTGGCTTATCTTATGACAAGCTCTCTGAGTGGATGAACGTGATCAATTCAAAATTTACCTCTTGAACTGAATGGATTGACGATGAAGGATTATGGGTGCGGCAAAGAGATAATATTGAAAGTTGAATAATACTAACGAAGTAGATTTGGATTATATTCAAACTTGATTTTCAACATAATAAAAATGAATTTTGTATTGGCATGTGTCAAACAAAAAATAAGTTGAGTTGAATGTAGTTTTATTGGAGAAAAACAGTAAATTGTTGATGCACACAACAGACATACTTATTTTTTGTTCGACAACATGTTTCCTGTTGTATTCATTAATCAATTACCAAAATTAATTCCAACTGCTTCTTAAACCTCACGCTGAAGTTTTCAATGCGGTGGACTCTATTATCATATTCGAGTCGATCCTCACTCACATCTACTCACATATATATTTCCGTTACAGCCGAATGGATTCATTGAATGCGCAAATCCGCACACCCAGCCGAATCCACTCTGTTAGTGACAATACCAACGAGCATTTGAACGACTCGCGAAAGTCAATCACCAACTATGATGCTTCCACGAATGGAAGGCCACTCTCGAAGTGGGTTTTCAACGGAATATTGTTCAGAGCCTATCGTCCTTATCAGCTCTATATGTTGACAGTTGAACGTGACCATATAGAGCTGATAATTGTCTGATCGATTCAGAATTGATCACCGTTAATGATCAATTCGGTAGTGTTAATAAGCATCAAACTTTAGGCAAGCAGGCAAAGACGATCAGCGCAAAAGTGATAAAGAAAGGCGGAAGAATGAGAGGAAACAAGAGAGCAAGGCCGCGAAAACGTTATCAGCGATCCTTTTCGCGTTCATTATCACATGGACTCCTTACAACGGTTCGTTATATTCTTTTTCTGTTTGATTCGACTCGTTGTTATTGATCTAATGAATTCTAGTGATCGTTTGTTGGGAAGCGTTCTACAAGCACTCAATACCGGAAGTCTACTTCCATATTGGATATTGTCTCTGCTATATCAATTCGACTATAAATCCGCTCTGTTACGCACTCTGCAATGCCAGATTCCGCATGACATATATGCGTATTCTGAAAGGCCGTTGGAAACAACAACGATCCAATCTGATGCGAGATGCATATTTAGTTCGGATTTGAACCAATATTTCATCATTTATTCTCCTTATTAAAATTTTTTTTCTGAATTAATTTAATTCAAATTGAATCATTGCTCAATTTTGTATTAATTGTTGCATTTTATAGTGTTGTTTTGGAGGGATAATAAAACGGAAATAGATAATGATATATCGTCAGTAATATCTTACTTCTTGACGTTTCTATTCCATGGAGTCATAGGTACGCTCAGTTCAGAAGGAGAAACCATGAACCTGAAAGGTTTGAAGTGAAATTTTACCAGTATTAGCATTGCAAACTACCCAACGTTTCGGCTTATGCAAGGCAATCGCTTGAGATTTGAGAAACGCTCAAAATGAGAAATCTTGATTACCGCGGTGACATCTTGATCTGTCTTAAAATTGGGAACCACATTAACTGAAATACAATCAGTCTCTTGAGACTACCACATAGTTTGAGTCATTCGTAATGAAAGAACTTTTTTAGTTAACAAATTGCACTGTGAAGGTTATTAATTGTAATTTTATTTTGCAAATCCGTTTGGTTGTGATTGTTTCAAGTTAACTATCGTGTGAATGCAATGACTTCTACTCATTTATTATTTTGATTTGATCCGTTTTCGAGGAATATCTTAATGTAAAATATGTTCTGATAATCGTTGTTTCCAATACTTCATGTCAACCTTTTTTGCATCTATCAGTTCTTTCATTCTCATTATGCAACAAGAGGGAATTTTATCTCTTTGCACTTCATCGAAATCTTTCCGAACAAATTCCTGATTTATATCAAAAAAGCTCGTTATGAACTGACAGCAAAATCATATAATATAATTTTTTTTGTAATAAAATTCGTGACTGCAATAAGTCATGTGTTCTATTTTATCTAAACTCATTTGTTGGAACAACCGAAGAAATTTCCTCCCTCGCTCGCTAAGAATCCTCAGAGCCATCGATATTCATTGAGTCATCCGCCTCACAATTATACTCAGGACCACGAACCTGTTCGATATTGATTGTCATTGCAGTTGTTCATTTCGAAATGTTCATTTTAGCTTATCGACAGATCTATTTTCAAACACTATGCGATATTTTTTCAGTGTTAGATTCAACTTCCGGCTATCGTCAATCGTAATAAACCAAATGCAAATGAAGTGATAAATTTTCCGTTGTCATGCACATTTCAAGCGTTCTATCAGTAAAATCTTATGATCACTGGTGATGGTGATGATCAGTTTGGTAAGATTGGCAGCAATATCAACGATTTTGTACATTGCTAAAATATTGGTTGTAATGATATTGAAGTACTAGTTCAAAGAGTTTATTTAAAACATTATCTCATTCTTTCTTGAGTTAAGCAAAAAGTGTTCCGATCCTGTGCATTTGGTCGAACAGAGCAGTCAGACGTGCGAGTGAGATCCGATGCAGATCATTAACCCTCAAATTCTGCAATGTATCACCTTTAAACATCGACATTGTCAGCGTTGGCAAACCCACAGTCTCCTGAATTGAAGCGTATTTTCTTGCTCGAAGTACTGAGCAGCTAACCGCAGTGATCAAGTGAACTGCTACTGAAATTGATAATAAAATTTCGATGGGAAATTCAACGATATCGATAGAAGTTAATCGCACCTTAAGTTATCAATCCATCTATCAAATGATATACGTGTTAGCTGATCGTTCATCACAAACTCTTGTTACTTGAAGAAAAATCGTTCAAACTGAGGTCCATTCTCAGTTGAATGAACAAAATGGTTGAATTCAATCGCACGCATCATTGAACCATGCGTAAACGTATTTCTGGCCAAACGTAATTTCCGCTCTCAGTTTCTGGTCTCAAAAAATTTTTAGGCCGCCATTATCAAGATATACTGAACAAAATGCATTCACCAACATCGTATATCGCCTTTATTGACGACATTTTATCGGTGTTCCATCTGTCAGCTGTGTAAGCATTCAAAAAGCAAACGGAAGGAACGCAACAGAGCAAAATAAACGTAACGAACGAACAATAAAACGCTTATAAAACATTCAAATTCAAGCATCGTGTCTCCTCCTCCATCTAATATTTGCACAGTGAATGTGTTTGTGTGTAAGCCGATAGCGATGCTGAATTGGAACTGTATGAGAAGTGAAGAACGATTAACAAAACATTTCTCTGGGCGCAATTGCCAGCTTCTTCACCTTCTTCATTCAGTTAGTCAGCTTCATCGCTTACTTTATCAACAGACTCTGTTTGCTTTAGAGATTTGAACGTTCTGCATAAAGTGTTTCTTGCATATAGTCACCAATTACATTACATGTCATTTATTCCTTCATAAATCATTTACGTTGCATAATGACAACGCTTTAAGCTTTGGTGCATTCTCTTCTGTGCCATATTCACATCATATAAACAATTTCAATCGAAATTTCCCATTTTTACATTTCCTCATGAATATTACTCATGATTGAGAAAGACTTCAATTTGACACTGAGACTGCGCATTGCAGAATAAGTTCTCCAGTAGGGGAATATTCCGGAGACTTGGGCAGTCCCATAAGCTCAAGAATTAAAAGTATTCGTGATTCTCTATGCTGATTCCATAATATGACGAATATCTGATAGTTTGATGTTTTTACAAAAAGTGTTTCTTCGATAGATGATCGTCTTCGTTATATGATCAAACATAATGATTTGTGATCTATGTTTACGACGACGATAAATGCCCTCTTTCAGCGGTAAGAAAATGCACACAAGAGAGTCAGTTTCGTTGGATCCATCATCGCTTAATGCGAGCGATTTGCGCCTTAAGCAGAATGGCCCTTCGTCCTCGTCGAGTTCAGATGTACGTCGATACACTTTATCCATTTGTTTTGCCCTTCAATCTGTTTTCGATAACTCTTTCCGGTCTTTTCTGACCATTCAAATGTTTTGTTAAGATTTCAGAGTATTTGAACCCGTTTTCTTACGTATTCACGCAATGAAGTTTCAGCAACAAGAGGAGGGAATATTTTTTAGTGAGTAAAAATTTCACTGCAGAAGTATGTATATCTATCGGAAGATCAAAATATTCGGATGAGAAGAATCTTGAAATCTTCAAATCTCAATCAACATTTTTCAGGTGCATTGCAATCTAATATGTGCTGGAAATGCCCAATGAAAAATCTATATTCTGGGGAGGTGATTACGTTAAGATGAAGTGTTATTTAGTAAATGTTTAAATAACTTTGTTTTTAAGAACTGATTTGAAAATGATTAATTGATAGTTTATTTTAAGTTTGAAATAGTGCAAGCATTTAAGAACAATCAGTATCCGGCTGGCATGAACTTACGTTTGACTGTGCCGAAGAGAAACTATTCAACGGCACGCCAAGATTCACTTCTTGTTATGGAGACACCCGTGTTTGATAAGGTCGTTAACAGTGCGCTCACTGATCGTTCTTCTTTCTACTCTTCACTTTCAAAATCGATACAACTCTCAATGTTGACTTTCTGAGAAATTTATTCACAATCACTTTATTCACAATTAACCATTTCTGTGCTACTACTAATTTATATTGGTGAATTCAGCTATATATTATACCTTTGAGAAATTTACAATATGAAATTGTCTAAACGAACTTTATTTGCCAGAATTTCACTTATATTTTGATGTGATTTTTTTGCAATGAGTTCATAGACTAGATATTTTAATGGCAATGAATTATTGAGATCTTTGATTGTGCGTAATTTATGATTTTAGAAATTTGATGATTCCCTTTGAGTTCTGGCTTCTTCTTTTTTTTAGCACATCAAACCAAATATGGGTCCGAATTCACCTGGTACAGTGCTCACTGTAGCTGGACTTTTTGCCGTCGGTCTCATGCTTATTCTCAGTGGGATCATTGTACTTTGTCAGGTTAATTCTATGAAAAAAATTGAAATTCTCTCGTAAATTCTAACGCTTCATTAAGTGACATCTACATGATCTATCTGGCCATATGTCTTTGCTTGATCGGAAATAATTCTTTTACTATCGAATATTCCTAGAATTGCGTAGTTTCGCGTAGATTTATTGCAAAAAAAACCCAGATTTTCCTCTAACAGATCAGTTTTTAGTTACCTTTTAACTGAAGAAACTAAACGGAGGAAAAATGTGCTGAAATTTCAGCAATCCGAGACGCCATTCGTTGTAACCGGTTCATTGTTTGTCTGTATCGGAGCGTTGATGATATTGGTGAGTGCGATACTGCAACGAAAGAACATCGTAAAATTTGTGCTCGAATTGAACCGTGATTTGTATTTCTTGAATATGAGTGATAGTTATATGTGGAAGTTGATGTTCGTTCAGAAGACCCAACTTCCTGAGCCTTCACCCCAACACGCAGTCGCAACAGACTCGTAGTGTTCTTCGACCATTCTGTGTAGCTGCTTCGATACTCCAAAGACGAACTGCTAAGGTAATGACCAATCATTCGAAAACTTAAACCACCGATTGAGCACATTCAATTCTTTCATCATTGCGTTCTTCAATGAATGGATATTATTGCCATTTGCTATAAATCAATGACTTGAAAGGACAAAAAATTCATCCGTCAACAGCTCAACAGACCACTCGCTCACCTTCCAATAGCTCATTGTCTTCCAAACGTGCCTAATCCAATATGTGGTGATGCATTTCCTTCATAATCCATTAACAAATGTATTTCTTCATTCCATTGCATAATCCATCTGCTTCCAGCTGATTTGTGATAGGTAAAATTCTGCAGTGTTGCTCTTTGGTTTCAGTTCATTTCGAATGATTTTTATTTTCGTTCAGTTATACAGCGATATAGGCGTAATCATTCATATGATTGTTCTGGAAGATGCCATTAAAAAATTTTTTTGCTGTTGTCAATGGTCATCGCTGTGTAAGTACGGCCTTAGATGTTATTGGCCAATCCACTCTGATTGATAAACATCGTTATCAGCGGAACCGAATTGTGTATTATGCAGAAATAGCAAGTGGATCATTAAGGTGACGATAAAAAGACGTCAAAGATTTGAAGACGCGAAGAATTAGTTTGAAGGTGGTGACCCTGATACTGCTAGAGCAAATTCATCGATACACATTGCATTGAGCGCCGAGGAGCTATCTGAGATAGCTTCAGAAACTCAGCCATATCTCCTCAAGTAAGCAAAATCGC